ATAAAGGAGACACAGTTGTTGATTACCAGAAAAGAAATAAACTTCAAGTGTTTAGTCCTTGAATATACAGTATTTATTCACAACTGTATTATGTATTTTCTTGTAATATAAATTTGCAATCTCAAAGTCACACTCCTTGGTTAAAATATTTATCATAATTTATCTGTAACTCCCGTACATACAAGGACCTGCTTGATCTTGCTTGGCTAAACATGTTCTACTATTTTTGGGTATTAAAATGGCAAATTTCTGCAAGCTGATTTGTAAACTACTAGGTTCTTACATGCGGGTTTTTATTGTACCTTATTGGGGCTGGAAGATGGACTCAGGCTACCTAACTTGTATTTTTGATAAATAAAATATGAATGTCTATATTAAAACTTGGGGAGAAGGTCAAATATTGCTGACTGTGTTTGTTAAATTAACATCTGTTTGTCATGTCTTTTGTTTTACATCCAGGCTTGGCAGTAAAAATAAATTCGTACACTTCACAACTGTTCAGACATTATTTTATTCATGTCAAGCAAAGTTGTAGTATATAAAGGTGTAATTATATGAAGAAATACCTGTAATCTTTACAAGAAATCAAGAAATAGGTCAAACATTTCTGCAAACTTTACTTACGGAATTACCTCACTTACAATCATGAGCATAATTTTCATAGATTTAGTTGCAGGTCAGGGTATTATTGATTTTATTTTGAAAACATCACCAAAGACTGCTAAAAAACTTTGTAACTGACAAACCCTGTATATGTTGCAATCCCTAGAAAAGCTAAAACTTTAGATTTATTAGAAACAAAATAATTACTGATTCCTTCAATAAGAAATGTTAATTACATTAAAGTTCACCTTTGTACTGCCATAAAAGATAAAACAGTGTCTGGTAATATTCCACCTTATTTTATTAGTTAACTATGACTTTGAAGTTAGTAATATCCAGATGCACACTACAAAAAAAGGCTATGATAGTATATCGTAAAAATATTATTAAGTTTCTTTTGTCTGATATTTTTCTCTTTTTCTCAAATGTTATTATAACATCTCTTTAGGGGTACAATCAAAGACCTAAAGACTTGTTTCTGTACACAATGGGTGAGGTATGAAAGGCAAAATTAAATTCCTTTTAAGAGCCGGATGGTCTCAGCGGCGAGCCAACTTCCTGGCATGTCATACCAGGTTTAGCCCCAACCCTCTGCGGCCAACAAGTTATCCAAGATACATTAATCATTTCTCTAATCTTTTTTCGCCCAACAGATCTTGTTTCCTTTGGAAAATGCCAAAGCAATGTTAAGATCATAACTACATGTAAGTACCTTTTCTAGTACACCAGAATGCCAAGATGAAAATATTTAGTGAATTTTCTGAGGGAAGAGCAAATTGTTATAATTTTTTGGCTGTTGTTTTTTCATTTGTTTCGTTTTTCCAAGCCAGGACACATTACACACTTGGAAAAATGTCTGCCAGACCAGGGCCATAGCCAGAAAAAAACTCTTAGATAACTTTATGTCCATGAAAAAATTATGACTGGGATTGTTAGCTTCTCTTCTGATGTCCATAGGGTGTTTGTGATGATGACTAAAAAAAAAAAAAAAATCATATGACTGAGGCGACTGCCTTGGTTTGCTAGTTACTAGCTACAGCCCTGAAGACTTATGTGATTTGGCGCCACCACCTTGTGTATCCATAGTAATAACTCTTTATAAAATACTCTTTATAACTTATGTGCTCTTTCTAGTAATTTAATTTAGTGAAAATATTGACTTTCCAAAGTTATATTCATGATAGTTCCCTTTCCAAAAAAAACTCTTTTTCAAATTAAAATCTCTTTCATACAGAGGAAATATCACACTTTGTCACTGTACCTCATCTCTGAGATCATGCCACTAGCACTGTTTGCACCGTTTATTTCTCGATCAAACTCTTCCACAGCTATTTCAATTTCTCTTTTCATTTTAATTTTTTCCCATCCAATGAACACCTTCCCTTTTGTTATTCCTTTAAAGAACAGCCCTGGAATCACGCCACTAACAAACACAGATACAGTGGACATTACTGTTGAAATGCTGTATGTGTTCTTGAAGAAGAGCACTGCAGATAAAAATAGACTTAAGAAGATTACAATCAAAGCCATGTTGAGAAACATCCGGCCGGTTTCAGTGGCAATGGGCATAACCCTGCCGCTGACAGACCAGAACAGACTTGTTGGAATTGTGTCCTGGTCACCACTCCTGATGTTATGTTTTTTTTGCCTGTATTTTAAAATGAGTCCCTTGAATTCCCTGTATCTGTTCTGCAGTTTAGAATAACAAAGATAAGTATTTGTTGTCACTACAAGAAAGAAAGCGACATAAGGCGTGACGATGTCTGCGTTGAGATATAGTCCTATTATTATGAATTCTACCATGTACATAACAAAACTGATAGAGTTCATTAGTAGGATTAGTAGAGGAGAGACAACTAAGAGAAGTATTAAAATGATAAAGAAAATTGTCATCACTAGTCGTTTACCATTCCTATTAACTGTACAGCAATTTCTTGAAGTCACCGCATTCAGAAACAGCAGACCTAGGGTTCCATAAGGTGACCACAAAAATACTGATAGAGAAACGGAGATTAAAAACAGGAGGTTAACACATATCCCCCAAATCAGCGCCATAAGTAGAGTGAGCAACGTAGAAAATAAAACGTATAACACGCACAGTGCTCGCTTCAATCTTGATTCATGATGGTTAACCATTGATAATGAACAAGTGGTAAAGAGAAGCAAATAATTCAAGAGAAACTTACTATGTTTCTGTGTTAAATTACTCCAAACGAAAGCCGGTAGTTGTTGGACCCTTCTCAAATGACAAAGTATTTCATTGCCAATGGAGTCTGGGCTTTTCCTTGGGAAATCAACTGTTGGAAGAGCGAAACTCAGAAAAGTCCCGGATCTGCAAAAGGGGCACATGTCATGCCTGAATAGTAAATCCTTCGGTCTCAAAAACAAAACGAGTGCCAAACCCTCTAAAGCTGCTAAGACACAGAGAAAATGAAAACCAACAGGATCGATGTTGAGAGAGGGAGCGGAAAGGCTGGAAAGCGGTATACTTTTTTTTAAGCTTTCGTAAATATACTTCTTTTTAAGCGTGAGCCAAAGACCCACCTGTGCGTAAAAGACACATGGAAAAATACAGTACAACATGACCGCTAACTTGATGTTAAATGACAGCCTTAAATCTGGCAGTTTCTGGATATATGCTCGCAAAAGAGCCGAACAAGTCACTGGACTCGAATCATCTACAGGAATTTCACTTGCTCCACTTTCCTCCTCTTCAGTGCAGTGACTAAGTTTAGTTGTAACTTCTTCCTCTCTGCTGGCGGTAATTATTTGTTCGTAGCCATTTCTCATGCGAATGTCGGATTCAGCTTTTTCAGCACTATCTATTTGTTCCGCTTCCGCGCGATCTTCCTTGTCACACTCGTACTGAAGACTGAAAATGTAATCTGGCAGTGCTAAAGGAAACGCTGGGAGATAATAGGTCACGACTAAAGACACAACAATAAGAACGACTTCAAACATGCCCATCCAGTCGCTTTTTTCAACCGTCAGATCGCACTGGATCTCTGAAGGCCTATTCGGTTGATTAGTTCGTGGTGTTTTTATACCACAGCAACGACGATACACAATCCCTTTGTTTCCGTCGTAGCCCTCTAACATTTCAACACAAACCACCTCATTTTTGCCAGATAGTTGATCCGCAGAGCTTTCAGTCGTCACATTTTCTAACAGCATTCTTCCGACGGCCATGTTCTGGCGTGTTGAGTCGTTCAAATTGGCTAAGCATCCACTTGGCTGATCTTCCAAATGCACGTCCATGCTTCGCACTTGATAATTCAGAAGACCCAGAGATAGGATATCGTAGTCGTCGTTCAAAGATAGCATGGGCTCGGTGATGTTATTAGCCCAAACCCATCTATCCGCGAGAAACTCGTCCTGTAACTCTAAAGGATGGTGGCTGTCGTTACCGATCTTCAAATTCAGGTAGACCATCCTGACACCTTTCTCGGAAGCCTTGCTGCGAAATTCAGACGCAAAACCTTCTCCAACTGGTAAAAGCTTGCATCGTGTCTCACTATAGTTCTCGGGTTTGGCTTCACAATACGTGACCAAGAAAACAACTGAAAAAGCGAATACCGATCTGAGAGCCATGCCTAGTCTGCGCTGCTATAGCGACTCTGTAACCCAAGCTATCTTTAATCTCTTGCAAGTAATATCAGTTGCATCTGTCTTTCTATTCATTCCTGATTTACTTTAGCAACTGAGGTCAAGGCGGATTTATCATGAGTATCAGATGTATGACATGTTGTCACAAACTAAGTTGTTTTTGATGCTTCAGTTCAAGTTTCGATTCACAATCTTTCATTATATTCTTCGAAACTCCTATTTTAGAAAGCCACCACCCRTTTTAAAGTCTCCTACGCAGACGCCCTTTGGCCTCTGTCATAACAGTAACAAGACCGATTGGAGTCCACTCACAAGTATGACTACCGAGCGAATTGGACTCCACTCAGTCCTATTATTTCTAAACAATTTGAGAAAAGAACTCAAATGGTTTGACTCGTAAAAGTAGCTGAATTGTCTTGGAGATCCATGAGTGATGGAAATCCGCGAATCAAGTCCGTGTCCAATACAGCGCTAGCAAATAGCCTGCTGTTGCATGCTCTGCATGTATTCAGTGCGAACCATCTCGCCATGCCCTGATTGTTTTCAGGGTTTCCAGGTTCATTCGTTTAATGAAGAGTTTCCAAGGAGGGAGAAACGGAGGATTGTGAGATAAAGAGCAATGTCGTTGCGCAACGAAAATTTGTAAAAACACTCTAAAGTTAAAAATAGCAATTCGATCTGCAGGCGTAGCTGATGTTCAAGTCATGCGTAAGCCTATAGGATTTTCAGTTTTCCAACTCTGCAGAGCTTTAGCTATGTAGAAGTCTAGGCTAGGCTTATTTCGAAAAGCTCTTTTCAAGCAGCATAGCTCAGTGTTGCTTTCAATTGTGTTAACCCCTCGAGTCCTTACGAGGGAGGACTCTCGGATAAAAAGGAATGGCTTTGCGCGACGAACATGTTGAAAAACACTCCTAAAATTAAAGATTTGAGAGCCATGCCTTGTCTGCGCTGCTTTAGCGACTCTTTAACCCAAGCTATCTTTAATCTCTTGCAAGTAATCTCAGTCGCGTCTGTCTTTCTATTCATTCCCTGATTTACTTTAGCGACTGAGGTCAAGGCGGATTTATCATGAGTTTCAAATATATGACATGTTGTCACACACTAAGTTGTTTTTGATGCTTTCAAGTTTCGATTCACAATCTTTCGTTATATTCTTCAAATCTCCTATTTTAGAAAGCCACCACCCGTTCTAAGGTCTCCTACGCAGACGCCCTTTGGCCTCTGTCATAACAGTAACAAGACCGATTGGAGTCCACTCACAAGTATGACTACCGAGCGAATTGGACTCCACTCAGTCCTATTATGTGTCCTGTGAAAACGCTCTATAGCTACCCGGGGGTGGGGTACTTCCAGAAAAGTTGGGTGGGTGTGTGCGGCCCACTTCCCAAAACCCTTACCCTATTTATGACCAAAATCTGCGTTTTTTGCTACCCTATTTATGACCTGACCAGAAAGTCGATAGCCTATTTATGAAAGCTGCGGCTGACAGTTGGCCTAAACATAAGTTATGAAGGGCTTTTGTTGACGGTCTTATTGATAATGATGGAAAAATAGCTGCTTCTAAGAAACATACCCAATTCAAGACCAGAGTCCAAAAACCGTACCCTATTTAAAACAAAAATGGCCAAAATCGATACCCTATTTATGGCCAAAACGGCTGAAAAACCCTACCCTTTGGAGCCGCACATACCTCTGTAGCTCATATAAGGGAGTACCCCCCCCCCTCCCTCCCCGGGAGGAGGGTGCATTCAAAACACAGCTGAAAGCGCTTTGACAGTCAGAATAATATACTTGTAGATTTGGCCAAGCCTAAACTGAGCGGAGTTCCTATAACATACTTATCATTTACTCGAAACATTAANAAGCTGCGGCTGACACAGTTGGCCTAAACATAAGTTATGAAGGGCTTTTGTTGACGGTCTTATTGATAATGATGAAAAAGTAGCTGCTTCTAAGAAACATACCCAATTCAAGACCAGAGTCCAAAAACCACACCCTAGTTATAACAAAAATGGCCAAAATCGATACCCTATTTATGGCCAAAACGGCTGAAAAACCCTACCGTTTGGGGCCGCACATACCTCTGTAGCCCATATAAGGGAGTACCACCCCGCCCTCCGCGGGTATAGCTACAAGCTTCAATTATGTTTGAGGACATAGTTCTGGTCAGGTGCTTGTAAGTTGAATGTTATTAAAGTCTGGATGTAATTAATTAACTGCCAAATGACAAAAGGTCCGACATTTTAACCAACAAAATATCTTTCATCCTCAACAACATTTTATGCTGACAACTGATCTATTCCTTCCCACCCTCCCAACCGGTCCTTCTTAAGACCCGTTTAGCGAGTTCGGAAGTTTCCACTCAGTAAAAACTGTAACGTTGAACTACGTATTTCTTTTATTCCCAACACTTCTTCTGACGCTCATACAGTTCGTTCTATAAGTCAACAATCTACAATCTGCAATCTGATCTAAATGTTCTTTTGCTCGCTTTTGGGTAATGTTTCGGTTATACAATAATCTTTTATCTTACATCTCGGAAAATCAATCTTATTAACTCAGTGCCTCATTCGTTCCCTGTGTTTACATCACATTTTTCTGAGTCACGTTACAAATTCGCATGACTATTTCCCTAAGCAAGTTGCGTTACTTGATATTAAACTATTCAGTTTCACGACGAGCTAAGCATCATTATGGCAATCTCTTCTGATTAGCGGGTCCTAAGGGCACGGCATGACGTCTTAAAGTGTTCGTAGATAAGTTGTTTATTTAGGCGACAGTCTGATTTACGTACACTATTCTTTCTTAGGCTTTTCGAATCTCGCTTAATTTTCTTTAAAGCCGTTGAGAGTTTTCGATTCCGTTTCACAAAATCAACAAAGCCCTTGTCCCCTTCTCATAATTTCAAAGCAGAGCTTTGCCTCCTTTTCTGCAAGATCCCGTAACCCCCGCCTTCAAATAAGCCAAGTTCCAGATCCTGAAAAGCCTATTGGAGACCCCCAGATAATACTCCTGTGCCAGATTTCTAATCTTTATTACAATAATGCAAAATTATACAATATTTTATCCTACAGAATTAAGAAACATTTTCCTACACGAATGTGTTATTGTTACTTAGGTTTATATATACTGATTATGCAAAATTGGCCTGAATCCATAATTCACTATCGTATCATCACTCTTTGTACTATATGGTCCCAACTCAATGGCTGTGCTGTCTCTATTATACTCTTTGACCGCTCTCTCTATGTCTCGTTCTATTTTTATTTTTGCCCAACCTATGAATTTATTCCCCTTTGTCCGTCCTTTCAAAACCAGTACTGGGATTAGTCCACCTACAAACACATAGATGGTCGAGAAAATAGCCGAAGTATTATTTTCCTTTCCAAAGACAACAATTGAATATACCACAAAAAACAAAAAAGTTAAAATCAAAACCATATTGCGTAACATCAGACAAATTTCAGATTTAATTGGCAAAACCCTGTCACAGACGAACCAAAATAACTTTGTTCGGATTGTACCCTCGGGATCGCTGCTATTTATGCTTAATTCTTTTTGCCATTTTAAGATCATTTCCTTGACCTCCTTGTATTTCTGCTGCATATTAGCATAACATAGATACATATTTGTTGTAACTACGAGGAAGAAAGCTACATAAGGTGTTATAACGTCCTCGTTAAGAACTAATCCAGCGATTGTATATCCTAAAGCTTTGTTAACAAAAGCGCAAGACAGGTTATTCACAAACAGTATTGTCACATAGAAGGATAAAAGTAGCCAGAGTTTAAACAGAGGTTTAGCGATACCGATAGAAACTTTAAATAGAGCGGAAACGTTTTCGTCGTCATCAACGTCGTCGTCATTGTGTCTGAAGGTTCTAAGAGACCGCAAAGTATGCTGCGGTGAATACCACAATATTTTTAATATCGAGATGACAAGTAAAAAGGGGAAACAGATTGCCCCAAACACAACCCTAAGAAGAAGTGTACATGTGATAAAAATTAAACGCAACAAAACGTAAATTGGATTCATCGTTCGTGATACTTGACGACTCTTTTTGCATGGACCCAAAAAAACATCGGAAGCAACTAGTTTTGAAAAACCGAGGATTAAATTCCACAAAAGGTGATGGAGTTTAACAAAGTGATGACGCATTTCATCACCCAGGGAACGATCTAGGTCTCCACTGCTACTGTCGCATATCGGACAAATGAACCGCTGCTTAAGAGTGAATGCCTATAAAAATGGACCTAAATCGCCTATCAATGGCACAGGTCGAAAAATTGATTTCGCTTGTATTTTGTCCATAGATAGGTCCTAGTAAGAATAGAAACGGACCATAGTTAGTTTCTGCGAATACAGCTTTCTTTGGTAGAAATACGCCAAAAACGATTTCGACCCGACTGGGCTCAAAATCTACTTCCG